GGATAGCGGCGAAGTAGTCTGCTGCTGCGCCGCTGAGGGGAGAAATACGAGGAGGAGGAAAGGTGTGGAAGGCGACGAAACACGGACAGCTACCAGCTGCAGCAGATAGGGAGAGAAGAGAGGCGGAGGAAGAGGTGAGAGGGTGGGGGAAATAGAGGGAGAGAGAAGAGGAGGAGGAGGGTGAAGGAGCGGAGTGTGGGGAGGAAGTAGGGTCACGATCACCAAGTGGCAATCAGTAACACGCAGCCAGGTGGCAGATGCGGAGGGGAAGGAGGTGGAGGAAGGGAGGAAAGGCACGGAAGGGAGGAAGGAATGAGGAGAGGAGGAGGAGGGTGAAGAGGCGGATGGGGTGAGGGGAGAAGGAGGAGGTGGTGCAGAAACGGCAGAAGAAGGCGCACCACGGGGGGGAGGGGAAGGCGCCTGCAGGGAGGTGTGGCAGGCCGCCCACGAGAGGGTAAGGAAGGGTGGCTGGGAGGAGGGAAGGGTGGCCAAGGAGATGGAGGGCGGTGGGCAAGACGCGCGCGCGCATCGACGGCGGGGAGGCCGCGCACGTCGCCGTCGACGCGGCCGCGCACGTCGACGACGGGCAGGGCGCGCGACGCGGCGGTGAGTAGGGCGCGCGACGAGGTGGGGGGGGGGGAGGGCGGCGCGACGACGAGACAGGGCGCGCGACTAGGGGACGGGGCGCGTGACTAGGCAGGGAGACCTCGGGTGATGGATGGAAGGTTCCGTGATTGAAAAAAAAAAAAAAGAACTTTAAGGGTCGAAATACTAGGGAAGATAATTTTCGACTAGGTAAAAAGTGGCGCGCCGGATGCCTAAGGCCTAAACCGTACTAAGAGATATAGATTGGGACAAAACGCCAAGGATTTGGCTCTAGATACCATGTTAAAACTGAGAGTGTGGTAGCCATGGCTATGAAGAGAGAAGGTAGCGAGAGAAAATTGTATTAGGAAAGAAGTGTCGAGATACAAGTCTAGAAAGGAATTGGAAACCCTAATTGAACTTAGGGTGTGTTCAGTTTGTACTATAGCTACGAAATGAACCTAAATTGAACCTGGAAGCATAACTCGCTCTAAGCATGGTGGAATGATAAGAGAACACCAAAATAAAGGCCAGAGCGAGCTCTAGCCTACTCCAACATAGCGAGCAGTGACTGGTCCCGAGGTGGGATCAGCCAAAGCCACAGAGACCGGCGCCAGAAGCGGAGTAAGTGTCGTGTGGTCCCGGAAGAAGCAGTGCGAAGCCCCAGAGTCCAAAGTGAAAGACAGCGAAGTGTCCTCCGAAGTAGCTCCTGGACTAGTGTCTACACAAGTGCCTACACTACCAACAGGCAACTCAGCAAGACTAGCACCTAAGCTAACAACACTCGAGTAAACAGAGTCAGAAGCACTAGAGTCAACAACAGCATACATAGCATGAGGAGTTCTTAAGAGATCAACCAACTGAGAAGCTGACATGCCCCAAAGAGCGGAGCTGTACGTCTCAACAAGAGGAAACCAGTCAAGGGCAGGGCCGCCAACGCCGAAGGCCAAGCGAACTGTGTCAGTGAGCTGAGAAAAACACTGACCAGGAGGGTGGGTGCGGCCACAAGGCTGGCCTCGGCGAGCACCTGTCAAAAGCTGATAGGTGCACGAAGGGTGTACAACACCTCGCTGGGGCTGGCGCTGTCCTGGCCCCGAAACTTGCTGCTGCCGCTGCTGCTGCGAGGGCTGCTGCGAGGGGAGGGGCTGCTGATGCTGCAGCTGCTGCTGCCACTGGGCCAGGTACCACGCCGCTGCTCCACCCGCCGCGGCCGGCTGACCAGAAGGTGGCGGACGAGCCCGGGTGTCGCCTCCACCAGCTGCAGTAGGGGAGTCACTGGCCGCTGCACGAGACGCCTCTCCAGGCCCTGCGCTCCCTCCGCCACCAGTCGGCACGCCACCCCCGCCACCTCCGCCGCCAACGCCTCCACCGCCGCCGCCACCTGTACCCTGACCGCCCCTCTTGCCACCTCTACCTCGAGACCGCGAAGAAGTCGTAACAGCAGCTGCGGTCACGTCAGTAGCAGCAGTGGCGAGAGAGGCTGTAAAGGTGGGCAGCTGAGGGACAGTGCACCCGTGGAACAGTGGAGGGGGCACAGCACCAGAGGCGGAGGCTACGGAGCGGAGGTTGCTCTCGACGTCCTTGAGCGCAGACTCAAGGACCTCGATAGTGAGCTCACTAGGGTGCTTCAGGAGAAGCGTATCACGGACCGAGGCAATGCGGCCAGGGAGGCTAGTGGCGATGAAATAGATAGTAATCGCCATGGGGGGAGGAAGCAGTGCAAGCTGTGCCTCAGTGCAAGCAGCGCGGTAGCTAGAATCAAGCGAGCGGAGGTGAGCAATCAAGTCAGCAGAGCGCTCAAACGAGGCGAGGTCAGGGAACAGGAACGGTAGGAAGAGTCGGCCAAGAGAGACAGTGGTGGGAGTAGCGTAGCGGGCCTTAATCGCAGTCAGGAACTCACTAGCAGTGCGAACCTGAGTGAAGTGGGCCTCCTCAAACTCAGGGAGGAGGCTGCTAAGAGCGATGCAGGCCGCAGCGTCACGCGCCTTCCACGCCGTCAGGTCAGCACGCTGGCAGGTAAAGCGGTCCCTGGCTGCGTCGTCATTGGCGGTGCCTAAAGGCGTAGGGTCGTCGGGCGCTGGAAGGTCACCAGTAGCGTGCGCCCAAAGGGACTCGCCCGCCTAAACCTGACTCTCTAAAAGGCGACGCGCGCGTAGGAGCCAGACCGGAAACTCGAGCGGTCTACTGTCAGCGTCAAAGCGAAGAACCCTAGGGGTCGCCATAGTGTAAGTAGAAGCGACAAGTCCGGCGGCGGGTGGCACTGGTAGGGACGGTGGGCGGCTAGGGCAAGTCCGTGACGGGCGCAAAACGCGGGCGCAACGGGGCTAGGGGCGGTCCCGCGGCGGACTGAACGAGTAGGCGCAGCGGTGCGAAGGAAGGGCCCAACGAGCGGGCCCGCAACGGACTTAACGAGGAGGCGCGGCGGCTGGCTGAACTGGCAGGCGCGGCGGCTGTAAGGGAGGGCCCACGGCGGCTGTAAGGGAGGACCCGCGGCGTGCCTAACGAGCAGGCGCGGCGCCGGGCGGTACGGGCAGGCGCGGCGGCTGTAAGGGAGGGCCCGCGGCGGGCCTAACGAGCAGGCGCGGCGAGAGGCTAGGGCGGGGCCCGCGACGGGCGCGAAAGGCAGGGCCCTCGACGGGCCTAACGAACAGGCGCGGCGGCAGCCTAACTGGCAGGCGTGGCGGCGGCCTAACGGGCAGACGCGGCGGTGCGAAGACAGGGCCCGCGGTGGGCGTAACGGGCAGGCGCGGCGGCGCGAAGGCAGGGCCCTCGACGGGCCTAACGGGCAGGCGCGGCGGCAGCCTAACGGGCAGGCACGGCGGCGACCTAACGGGCAGGCGCGGCGGCGCGAAGACAGGGCCCGCGGTGGGCGTAACGGGCAGGCGCGGCGGCGCGAAGGCAGGGCCCGCGGCGGGCCTAACGGGCAGGCGCGGCGGCAGCCTAACGGGCACGCGAGACGGGCGCGAACGGGCGGGCGCTAACGGGCGGGCGCAGAGGGAACGCGCGCGACGGAACGGGCTCAGGACGGGACGGGACACGGAACGGGAGAGTGTCGACAGCTACGCGACAGAACTGGTGAGGCGCGTCAGGCTCGGGCGGGAAGAACGGGATCCTACAGGATCCTAACCTAGGTGATACCATGTCAAGAATGAAAGTGTTGTGTTATTGATGAGGGTTGGGGTACATATAGCAAACCCTAACATTTGTACCCCCTGAGACAAACCTCACTACAGGCTACAACATTTGACAGTAGGGCAGTGGGGTAACGCAGTAACCGCAGTCGGAATGGTGGGCCCGAAACAAAAAAAAACAAAAAAACAAAAAAAAACAAAAAAAAACGGGTCCTACGGACCTACTGCTCCGAAACCATGTTACAATGAGAAGCTAGGATGACTGCATTGAAATAATTGTGGGTACAAGTACTAACCCTAACATTGGGTCATATCCCATACAGGGCTCTGGCTAGGTTTTTGGCCCGTCTGAAAAAAAAAATGGAGAAAACTTTTCGTCTGAAGGAAATACGAGCAATCTTAGATGGTCTGATTTTTCAGATGAAACAATGGCCCTTGTCTGAATTTTTAGACTAAACATATACACTTGTCCGATTTTTCTAATGGATAACCTTTTCAGATTTAAAGCGAAGTTTAGAATGCAGTGGCGGCAGAAGGAATCGAACCCTGACCTTTGTCACGACTACCAAAACGGCGGAGGACTAACTACTTCACGTGAGAAATTGTAGACAACAAATTTATCCAGGCTCTATCAACCCGATGTCCAGCTCTTTGCATGCTTCGGAACTTTTGTGTCTCAGACGAAATTGTACTCGCTGTCTGAATACTCAGACGGCCTATTAGCCCGTGGTCTTATTTTTCAGATGAGCAAAAATGGTTTGTCTGGAAAGTCATTTGAATATATAAAAACGTGTCTGATTTTCAGACCATCAGACGGATTTTGTCTGATATCCAGAGCCCATACAGGCTACCCCACTATCGCCTACACAGAACTACGGTGGGTAAACACAAATGGCTATTCATTTGAAACATGATTTTGGATTTCTAAGAAACAGATACGCAAAACACAGCAAGGTATGGAGGAAAGGTGTTCGGCTAAGACTTAGGCTATGATCAGGCCTGCTTCTTCATGACAAAATCATTCTCATTCTCTGAGTAAGAGTGACATTTCTGTATTATTATATTTCATTCCAGAGCTAATGCTAGATGTACTACTCGTAAGGTTCAGCTTTGAATTGGTAACCTAATTGGTAAAACACAATCATTCATAACCAGCCATTGGTTACTTCTCTTACATAGCCAACAAATCAAATAATACTAATAAAAATACTAATACCGTTACACCCACCTGCAACAAATCACCCTGTATACAATACAAATTTATGGTTCCACAAAGTCTTCGCTTTAAGCAGACAGGGGCAGTTCCTGACCGTTGAAGGCGGAGAAGCGGCAGTCAGTGGAGGTGACGGCGCTGGTCTCATAGTCCTTCACCTGCCCGTCCAGGAAGCCCTTGCCCTCCGCGCCATCGGCGGACACGGGGTGGTGCAGCATCGCGGCGAGCCGAGAGAACTCCACCGTGCGCGCCTCCCTGCCATCGCGGTACGTCTGCCCCATCACGCCGTGCACGCTGCTGCTCGCGCTCGCGTCAGTGAACATCACATTAATATGCACCTGGGCGTCGGCAGGTGTCTGCAACAGAGGGTGCGCGGGGCGCAACTTCAGGTCCAACTCCAGAAGCCCGTCGAGGCGCAGATAGTAGTGATCCACGTCGTACGGTCCGGTCTTCTCCTCCCCAACGAACTCAAGCGACAACTTGCCGCCCGCGAGGCTGCGAGTCTCACCCGGGGTAAGGCGGGGGAGGGGCGTGCCGTCGATCTCGGCGGACGCGAGGAAGCCGGAGTCGCCGCGGAGCTGCTCCTTGCCGTCGCGCGCCGTCAGCACCAGCGAGTGGGCGGCGGGCTTAGCGGAGACGGTATTGTCACTGTCGGCGTCAGTCCACATGACGGCGAGCTGGCGGATCCAGGTGCGCACGGCGGAGCCGTTGACGACGAGGGCGGCGCTCTGCGTGGAGCGCGAGTCGAGGTACCCGCGCATGCCCATGTTCACGTGGACCGCGCGGTCCGTGTACAGGCAGAAGTTCTTCTCGGGCAGCCCGTTGAAGTCGAACCGCGTGCTGTGCGCGCCCACAAAGTGCGGGTCGTCATTGGCGACGGGGCAGTTCCTGCCGATGCGCACCTTCTTTCCGCCGCAGCCCTTCTTGTCGCTCTTAGTGGGCGTGAGGGAATCGAGGTTCGGCAGGAGAAGGCACTTGCCGCAATCCTTGCCGTTGCACTTGCCCTCGCTGGGCGACGATCTGCGTAGCAAAGCGACAAACAGAGCGAAGAGCAAAGCGATAGGGCAATGGAGCGACGATCAGGAAACCAGCTTAAGAGGAATTGGGTTGGGAAGACGTGCGAGCAACTTACATTGAGCCGGGAAGGAAGCGAACAAGTACGTCGACAGGTTATGACGCTGTTAACCCAAGGTCACTGAGGGGCGATACGTCTAAATCAACAGGCGATACGAACGAGGACATGAACAGGCTGAATAAAGAATGCCGCGACAGTTTGGTAGGTGCTTACGGGATGTGCACCCAGTATTTGCATTCATAGGGCTTGCCGTCCAGGGTGGTGCCGGGGCTCTTGCAGCGATCGCAGCAGTCCTTGGCGTTAACCACGCCAGACGCGCACCAGGGGGCGGTGTTCTTAGTGGCCTTCGACATGCAATCTTTGTACTCCGGAATCTGCGTTAAGGAACGCACGGAAAGGGGTTATTGCGAGAAAGCAGAGCAACGATGGCATTCGCATTACCATATCTTGAAATTAGACATAAACTTGCTGCAAGCATGGTGATCCATCGACTACTGGCAGAAGCAAAGAATCTCCGCAACTTGACGCACCTTCCAGTAGTCAAAGGAGCCCTTCTCGTAGTCGCACCCATCAACGCACAGGTGCCCTCTTTTCTTCGACGACTGTTTTTTAACCTCCGCGTCACCCTTTCCATTGCTCTCACCCTTTCCATGATTCTCATCCTTGCTCTCATCCTTGCTCTCAGGCTTGCTCTCAGGCTTGCTCTCAGGCTTGCTCTCAGGCTTGCTCTCAGGCTTGCTCTCAGGCTTGCTCTCAGGCTTGCTCTCAGGCTTGCTCTCAGGCTTGCTCTCAGGCTTGCTCTCAGGCTTGCTCTCAGGCTTGCTCTCAGGCTTGCTCTCAGGCTTGCTCTCAGGCTTGCTCTCAGGCTTGCTCTCAGGCTTGCTCTCATCCTTGCTCTCAGGCTTGCTCTCAGGCTTGCTCTCAGGCTTGCTCTCAGGCTTGCTCTCAGGCTTGCTCTCAGGCTTGCTCTCAGGCTTGCTCTCAGGCTTGCTCTCAGGCTTGCTCTCAGGCTTGCTCTCAGGCTTGCTCTCAGGCTTGCTCTCAGGCTTGCTCTCAGGCTTGCTCTCAGGCTTGCTCTCATCCTTGCTCTCAGGCTTGCTCTCAGGCTTGCTCTCAGGCTTGCTCTCAGGCTTGCTCTCAGGCTTGCTCTCAGGCTTGCTCTCAGGCTTGCTCTCAGGCTTGCTCTCAGGCTTGCTCTCAGGCTTGCTCTCAGGCTTGCTCTCAGGCTTGCTCTCAGGCTTGCTCTCATCCTTGCTCTCAGGCTTGCTCTCAGGCTTGCTCTCAGGCTTGCTCTCAGGCTTGCTCTCAGGCTTGCTCTCAGGCTTGCTCTCAGGCTTGCTCTCGGGCTTGCTCTCGGGCTTGCTCTCGGGCTTGCTCTCGACCTTGCTCGCAGGCTTGCTTTCAACCTTGGTCTCAGGCTTGCTCTCAACCTTGGTCTCGGGCTTGCTCTCAACCTTGGTCTCAGACTTTCCATTGCCGTTACTGTTACCTGCGTCAACAACAGACGCCACAAGTAGGAGAATGAGCAAACTAGCGACGAGATAGCGAGCCATGGTGGAAATTACTTCTCTCCTTCGCGTTCTAGGTGTAAACGGGGCGTGCAGCATGATATGGAATGAGCGGAGAAAGCTTACTAATATACCGATGATGAGTTCAGGGCGTGTCAAATGAGTTCATTTGATTGCGGTGGAATGGGATGTTGTCCATGTCAAAAGGGTTTAGTATAAGTTCATTGCGTTTCGGTAGGGTTTCGAAAAAAATCGACGCCCTAAGGGGCCCAGGGATTTGAGCAGGTGGTTGGTGCAGGTTTGGGCTGGTTTGGCAGGATGATTCGGAACTGGGACAGGTGTTTGCGTGGGGGGGAGGGGTGGGGTGGGGAAAAACGGCCGCAGGGGAATACTGCACATGTGGAGCGGAGTCGCTGATGCAAACAACCTGACAGGCTCCTGAGGAGTGAGGGCGTGCGACAATTTGAATTAACGCTAAGCGTACATAGGCGAGATTGCGCACATCAACTATTTTCGTGATTGTCTCATCGTAACAGACCGAAATTTCCGCACGCGCCCCATATCACATCCAGAGCAAATTCGCAGGACATACTTGTTCAATAGTAACAAGTGTTGAAAATATTGAGTATAAGTGGTAATGTGTTTAATGTCCGAGAAACCGTGATACATTATATTTCCGTAGTATTGGTGTGGTAGCCACGAAATAAAAGCTTAATGGAAGGCATGATCGCGATCAAAAAATACTAAAGCCCAATGCGATGGCTGCCCCTCGGAAGCAATCACCCCAGGGTTGATGCCTTTGCGACGGTACTGTCCTAAAAATAATAATATAGATCCAGTGTGGTAACTTCACGAAAACAACGATACGACTGCCTAAGCAAGACTGACAGCTCCACATTTTAATCAGAGTACGATATTGAAACGAATGGTGGAGCGAATTCGAATAGGTAGCTGTCCCCAAACGACGTGACAAATATGGTCGGCCGTATTAAAATAATCACTAACTAGCTCAACACGCGCTCTCACCCCGTATATCGTACGGAAGAGTGCGACGCGGGCTTCGTCGTACAGATCTGAGTACAATCGACGAGCTGTGGCGATCCTGGTTACCACAAAATATGTCTGTACGGACAATCGTCCTCATCCCAAAATGCCAAAATTGGTGCCTCCTCCACTCGAGATTCATCTCAGCACATGGAAGCGCCTTTTGCCGCCCAGAGAATACGTCCGATGCGCAGGTAGCCAGCTGAAGGGAAGTGCAATCTAGCCTGCAGGTTTTTTCAGAGCTGTTCTACATGTGAACTGGTTTGGCTCCAATATTTGATTTTGAAATACAATATCACATGCAAAACATCCTCAATCTCAACTAAATGACCCCATTTTCTCAATAGTAAATGAGAGTGAATCACCATTTCATCATCCCGACTTTTGAACAATTGCTATTTGTCAAGGGCTAGAAGGAACCTCAAAAGTAGTACACTGGGATATTTGTCAAGGGCTAGAACGAATATTGGGCAGGGTGCCTTACTTTGTATTATTTCACTGTCAGGTGGTTTGTGGGGCCGAAGACCTGCGCAACCCCAGAAGGAGGAAACTCGAAACTGTTGAACTAGTGATACAAGTTGCACTCACTTGATTTTGTACACAAGGGTGTCTGGATGTATACGCAATATATGTGCTTTTAACTTGGCATTCTTTTAGACACATCTCATTAACCAAGCTTGAGTTTCCAGGTACATTGCCTCATTAACCTAAGGTTACTACGCGGACGTTAAAGGCCCGCAATTAACCGCGCGCAAAATCTTGAAATTGGTTCAAAATGTGACAGGCCATGCAAAACAAATTCCTGAGGGTAAACCAACCCTCACCGGTAGCCTCCCCTCAACATGGAAGACTGTTACGATAAGGAATTTGGTAAAGCATTCATGTAAGTAACAGCGATAACAACACTAGTGATATCGAAGACCAAGAGTCGTAATGAATTGAAACGACAAAGACAGTTGTCATACCGACACCAATGCATCAAAATGGAATTGGCGGGAAGCGGTTTGAAACGGGATCCTGTGCCGCACGGTTCAATTTCGATGCAATAGGGGAATTAGAACCTACAGCAAGGAGACTTACCTCACCATCGACCTCAACAAGGAACTGAGTGTTAAAGAAGAAGAAGAATTGGCACGATGCGAAGCTGCAGAACTCTGCCGGCAAAGCGAAACCCAACACTGCAGATGGCGTTGGGAGAAATTCAACGAAAGGGGGTGGGGGGCCTCCACTGAAGGAGGATGGAGTACGGACAATGGCCGAACATGGGCCACAGCTGGGGGGAATCGGGGAACAAAATGTTACGATATAGAATTGTTGAATAAACATTCCTAAGAGTAACGAATCCTTAACGCGACGATGACTGCAGCGAGGACGAAGACCGGGCGTCAAGACAGTTATCGAAGACAGTTACAAGCAGGAAGAATTCAAAGTGCAAAGCGCGGAAAAACTTCAAACGGTTACCGAACCGCGTACGTTTACCGAACCGCACGGTTGCAATCCTGCATCTAGATTAGCCCTAAGGGGAATGTACCCCCTCAGAGTACATGGCTAGCTAGGACCTTTCGTATTCCTGCTGTATCCCTATATAAACCCTTGTACAGCATCATTATATTTACTTCTGTCGAGATTCAAATCTCCTTCTACTGACAGGTTCCGTACCCGACATACACTAGCAATCTTCCGTTGCTACAACACTCGCGATCAACCTGAGATGATCCTACACCTTCAATTCAGATTGTAACATGGTATGAGAGCTACTCAGGATTGTTCGCATCACCACCACTGATTCAAATTTGAATCCAAGGTGGCGTCCGGTACGCGCTCCCGCCGAAACATGGCTGGAGGATCTGGTGAGCAGGCGGCTCCCACAGCCAAAGCTCCTGCCAACCCAACCACGAGCTCTGCGGCAAACACTGTCAAGAATACTGAACGAAACCAATAGTTTCCAAAAATTGGTTTCACGATTGAACTAAGATGAAAGTGGGTACAAGTACTAACCCTAATTAGGTTGTACCCCTTATGGGCTATCCCACTACAGCCTACACAATATGAACATTACAATAGTTTGACACACCCCCATAGGCAAAGTGGGGGAGAACAAGAGGTCACAAGACCAGTCAAGGAAAGCAAAGCAAGCTCAGGGTGGATCACGAAGTCACCACACGCTCTGAGCACAAGCAAATGGCCACAAGGCCAGTTCACAAGCAGAGTTATATAATGGAGAACAAACATTACAGTAATCAAAACCTAGCAAGTGTAAGCATGCAGGTCTAAGTATATAGACCACAGTACAAGCAAAGTCAAGAAGTGAGTAAGTGAGGCCAAGTAGGCACAAGGCCTAAAACAGTACAGAAACGCTGATGATCACAAGGCTGAAGTGCCTTGGTGAAGATATCAGCAGTGTTGGCACGAGAGGCCACGTAAGCAAGACGAAGCTGACCACGCTGCTGCAACTCTCGAGCAAGGAAGTAACGCAGAGCGATGTGCTTCGTCCTGTGCTCCAGTCTGGGCTCCTTACACAAGGCAATCATGGCCTTGTTGTCGACGTACAAAACTGGAGGAGAACAAGGCGGCTCTCCCAAGTCGGTGAGCAGGTAGGTGAGCCAGCGTAACTCCTGTGCAGCCATGGCCCCTGCGTAGATCTCAGCCTCACAACTGGAACTGAGAACAGAAGACGAGCGGGTAGACCGCCAAGAAACAGAGCCGGAGCCAAGGCTGAAAGTGTAACCCTGTGACGATCGCTGCGTAGCCAAGTCGTCAACCCAAGACGCGTCTGCGTGTCCAGTGAGGACAATTGGACCCCGTCCTCCAAGCACGAGCCCCACGCCTAACGTAGTGCACAAGTAGCGCAACACCCTCTTAGCGGCCTCCCAGTGCTCTGGTCGGTGTCTCCCGGGCGCAACATAGTGTGCCAGAATGCTTAGAGGGTAGGCAAGGTCAGGTCGAGTGCAGGTCATCAGGTACATGAGGCAGCCCACAAGCTCTAGATACGGGCCACTCGGCTCTACAGACTCGTCCGAAGGTGGAGCTGAGAGCGAATGACCGGTAGGCAGAGGAGTGGACTGTAGCGAGGAGTACTGGAAGCGGAAGCGCTGAAGGACCTGCTGCACCATGTGTGACCGAGTCAAGGTAATGGTGCGCCGTGCTCTGTCCCCGGTGATCTGCAAGCCAAGATAGCTGCGCAGCTCACCCAGGTCTGTGCACGTGTGTCTCTTCTGCAGCTCCGACTTCATACGGGCCAGTCCCTCAGTGTCAGCAGTGGCAAAGACCAATTCGTCGACGTACACGAGGATGTAGAACGGCGGCAGCGAAGTGTCGGTCGTAGAAACAACGACGGGTCAGCAGTCGAAAGAGCAAACCCAAGAGCCGCAAGCGTCGTCCTCAGTGTGTCGGGCCACTCGCGAGGTGCCTGGCGGAGACCGTAGACTGGCCGCCGGAGGCTCCACTGGGTACCTGCAGGAAACGACCCAGTGAAGCCAGGTGGGCGGCGCAGCCAGATCTTCTCGTGTAGGCTGCCCTGTAAGAAAGCTGTGCTGAAGTCAAGAGAGTGAAGCTCGTAGTCACGCTGAGCGGCGAGTGAAATTTCGCTAAACCCTGAGCGAATTTCGCATGCATTCGCAGAGTTCCGCAGTCGCGCGAATTCGGCCGACCAGTTCGCCGAGACGAGGCTCGCCGAACGGTGCCCTTCGATCAGAGAACGAGGCTCTTCGGACTGCACCCCGTCTGTTAGAGATCGCGCAACTCAGTAGCAGATCAGAGGACGAGCTCGTCAAACAGCACCCCGTCGACCAGAGCTCGTCGATGGGCTGGTGAATCAGAGGACCACCTCCTCGAAAACCCATCGCGGTTTCAGAGGACGGGCTGATCCAATGCGACAATCACTTCGTCGAATTCACCACGTCGTCGCAGAGAATGCATGTGTCCAAGCGAGGGCGGGGCATTTCACTTCGACACTCCTCTGCCCAGCTCAAGCTTGGGCCCTCACACACAAGGTCCACCCA